AAAAAAAAAAAAAAAAAAAAAAGCAAACACAACAATCATACAAACTGAGCAGTGTATGACCATGACCTAAAGCCCAACCATTATGAAGCATTTATTCACGAGTTAAGATTAAAAGAGAAAAAGAAAAATTAAAATTCACAAAACTTTCAACAATAGCAAGAATGTATAATAAAAGCACTTTGGATTAAAAACATCATGTCAGTCAATATTTCTTTTATCCTGGAATGGATTTTGAAATTTTTCTTCCCTTCCAGAGTTTCATGCGGCAAACTGCACTAATGGGAGCATTGCGGTTTGGTATTCCAGTAGACATCTGTAAAGCTTGATTTTGTGTATGCATTGTCTCATAGAGGTTAGCTAGTATTACTTTGGATTGAGCTTTTGGCACAGCCGCAGTGAGGTGAGCCGCGCAGTTCTCAGTTCCCTCCTTGGTACTCTCTGTGGTTTGGCAGCATTGTTCTGGAGAAGGCAGGTGGGGATCTGTTGCCATGGGTTACCACTGACTAAAGCAACAGACTTGGTTTAACAGCGTGTGTCAATTGCCCTACCACATTTCAGGTCCTGGACCCACCCAGATCTCAGTTTTTGTGGCAGATCTTTCTTCAGGGTCTGTCACAGTGTTGACGTACTGGTACTCAGAAAGGGGAAGGCGGTATGAGCTTTGGTCCTGCAATTCCCGCTTAACCTCAACTGGAACCCTGCTGTGAGACGGAAAGCTTTAGTTCCAAGGCCTCATCTCCAATTGCTAGCCAGTCCTTGGTTCTCAGGTAACTGCTACTGCAGCTCTGCTGAGTGTGTGTACTGCAAAGTGCTTCCCTGTGGTTTCCAATTACCTCACCAGAGCCAATTTGTGCAGCTAGGCACTAGTTCACAGCCACTCTTGTCTGCTTCCCCACAGAGATCTCACTTGGCTTAATAAGCCCATTTAGAGCTACTGTCTCTTGCAAGGATAAAGATGACCCTTTTCTCTCCTGTTTTCTTTCAGTGGCTTGCATCATGAGGTCTCTAATCTGCCAACTTCCCTAAAAATGTCTATTTTTAATTTTTTTTTGAGAAACATCCAAGCTATTTTACAATACGACTTTATTCTTATGACAGTGTGGAAGAGTTCTTTTTCTACAACCTTACCAGCATTAAAAGCAAAATCTTCAGTATTATTTCTTTTCAAAATCACGTTGCTTGAAAAGTCTTTCCCTGGTTAGTGATGTAGAGCATGGTTTCATGGCCCTGTAGGTTATTTGTATGTCTTCTTTTGGAAAATGTTACTTTCAATTTAATGCATCCTACTTAATTTGAAAGAAAGACGGGACCCAGTAGTACCTGACTCCAAATGTATTTCTTCGGCATTCACAGTCACTGAACAAGTTGCACACACTCTCTGAACTGTGGTTGTCTAGTCGGTAAAATGAGGCTCACAACAGTTTCCTGGCAGGACAGTTACAAAACTGAACAAAATAATGTTCTTGAGAGAGTTCCTTACAAAGTCCAGACGACCAGATGAATAGAAATTCTTTATAGTTAAAAGTTTTCCAGAAGCAGTATTGCCATATATGTGTTTTTTTTTTTTTTTTCTGAACTTTCAAGTGGTGTGGAAGTAAATGACAGTCAGAGAGGCACTAAGCCAAACGGAACTTTCATCATGGTCTTCCTTTTATGGGTTTCATGACAGCAGCTTGACAGATTAACCAGACCTCTTTTTCCCCTCAAGAAGTGCAGGTTTGCCAATGCAGATGGTTTAAAGGTAATAACCATGTACACGAGAGGAACATTTATAAACCATTTATCATGAAATCTGATGTGGTACTTAAAAGAGATATTTTTGTCAAGACAAGAAATTTGTTGCATTAGATTCATCCTAATAACCAATATGACCTATCCTGTGGTAGCCTTGTCATGGCCTTGGAATTCCTCCACAACCCTTTGGGCATCCCTCTGTAGAATACATGTTAAAACTAGAGTTAATACTATCTTTTGATAGCCTTGGGCTTTAGTCTTTTTTATTTTTTTAACTTATAAATGGAAGAAGGAATTAGGATAAATATTTTTTTTTTATTTCTTTTAGTCGATAGAACATGCTATTTACTTAAAAACCCCAGAAGATTCTTAATGCCCTTAGGAAAAAAAAGATGTTTCTCATCAAAGTCCCCCAGTTGTCTGACCTATATTTTCCTTCCCTTTTCTTTATTTGTGAATCAGCCGTGTTAATCTTCTTATCCATGAAACAATACTAATTTGTACTTCACTTGGGACTGTATTAGCTCTGCGTCATTCCCAGAAAGCAGTTACTCAGGGAGCTCTTCCCAGCTCCCATTCTGAATCACATCACTGCATCACATCAACATAATTCCGTTTCTGGGCCTTCAATGTGTGTGTGTGTGTGTGTGTGTGTGTGTGTGTGTGTGTGTGTGTGAGAGAGAGAGAGAGAGAGAGAGAGAGAGAGACAGAGAGACAGAGAGACAGAGAGAGACAGAGAAAGAGGGAGACAGAGAAAGAGGGAGACAGAGAGAGAGACAGAGGGAGAGAGAGAGATACCTACAATCATACTGGCCACTTTGCAAATGTGAGGTAAGTAATTGATGAATGAATAAATGTGCAAAAACAAGCACAAGCATACAGAAACTTTACTGACTTTCTTCTTCTAGCCTTTATAGTAAACTCTAATATCATCCCCAACTGAAGAAGCAACAAGGGATGTGAAGTAAGTAAAAACTAAGGAGTCCCTGCCTTGATCTCAGTTTTCATTGCTTTTCTTTTTATTCAAAAATTTACCTTTAATTGGATCATCCTATGCTTCAACTTGTTTCCTATTGCTGAATCCTTTCTAAGACAGTTTTTTTAGTAAAGCAGACCCTTCAGAACAGAGGCCACATCAGCTTTTTTGATCCTTCCACATTCCCCAAACCTGGTATTTTGTTTCTAAACCCAATTAATGTATTTTGCTTTGTTTAACAGATTTCTTGAATGCAAAAATTCTGAACCTTGATATGTACATATCTCTTTATGAGGTATCATAGTATTGCATTAAGCTCTCCCTGGCCTCTGAGTCTGCTAGCCTCACTTCGTGATTGAACACTGACTACTATTGCATATGATTTGTATTTCATTGTATCTGCTCAACTGAACTGAACTAATAAGAGCTGAGAACTGATGGAACTTCTAATATTGTCCTTTCTTAATTTTTTTCTTAAACATTTGTTTCTTTATTTGTTTCACAAGACAGACACACACACACACACACACACTTCCTGGTTTCTTAGATGTACAAAAAAAAAGCACTGATCAGAAGGTTTACCTTGGAGAGCTCCTGTCCAGGGCCACACTGCTGGCAGGTGACACAATGCCCCCATTGGTCCCGGTACTCATTTTCTTGACAATCCATGATGAAGAAACTATGGGTACAGAAAACAATTGCTACTGAGAAAACCAGAAGATTTTCAAGCAGTGGCTTTCCTGACACCTTGTTTCTGTGTCTTCTTAACTGTGGCTTTTAGTGAGAATGGCCAAAGAAAGGAAACTAATATAGGTAAAACTTTTAGAGTACAGATGGTGTGCCTAGAACTCTTGTAAATGCTTCCTATGTGACAATATATTTGATTCTCAAAAAATGACACAAATTATTATAAATTCCACTTTACAAGTAAAAAAAAAAAAAACACAAAGGCACAGGAACAAAGAAATTTTCAACTCTACCAGGAGCTCACTGTCAATAAACAAAGGAACAAGCAAGCAAGAAAATAAATAAGTAAAACTGTTGGATTCTTTTTTCTTTCTTTTTATTTTTGAGACAGGCTTTCTCTGTGTAGCTTTGGAGCCTGCCCTGGAACTTGCTTTATAGAACAGGCTGGCCTTGAACTTAGAGAGATTTGCCTGCCTCTGCCTCCCAACTGCTGAGATTAAAGGTGTGCGCCACCACTGCTTGGTTAGTTGGATTCTTTCTCGTGGCTACAAACAAATGTGTAAAAATCTCTTAAGAATTTAAAAATAAAAATCACTTTCACGCTTATTTTGTTATATTTCCAAACACTTTTGATATTTTTTAACTTAAGCAATGTAAAAAATATCTTTATTTGTGAATGAAAAAAATTGAAACATGATTCTTCTTTGCCAAAGTGTCTGATTACCCTGACTGGCCCATTCCATTTCAACTTGCAGTCTTGGATGGATTACTAATGACCTCAGTTACTTAAATTGAAGAAAATGAACATCATGCTTCTGTCTTTTACACCAGACAGCTTTTTGAAAGGATTAAATGTGTTAAATTCCTTAAGTAATCATGAGAAACTATACAAGTAAAACAGTGCTAATATGGAGATAGGTAGCTTTGCACAAACACAATTTTTATAACATGGTGCCTGTCTCTCTAAAATAAAACTCATGATGGGACTTTTTTTGTTACTCCCAATCTCTTGTAAGACTGTATTTCAGGTGGGTTCTCAACATACTGATAGACCTTAATATATGCTTCTAATTATAAGAGAGGACAGTATGACCACCAATCATCTCCACAAAGGTCACCAATAGAAATATATGTGTTAGCTGGCATTTTTGTTGAAGTATAACTTTTCCCATAACTCTTCTTTCCAATTTCTTCACTCAGTGGGATGTGTCCTATGAAGTTTACTTTTGGCACAAAATGAACACACTTTCTCCTCTGTTGTTTCCAACTGTCGGCCTCAGAAGGCAAGCTTCCCATCTTCATTCCCTATACTTCTCATTGAGGACAAAAACTATTAGTAGTCTCTTAACACTCAACACCAATGGAATTCAGGATTATGGTAACAAATCCAGCATGGATTATCTAGAGAAAACTTTTCCTGCATGATTTTCTTTTCGAAGAAAGAAAGAAAGAAAGAAAGAAAGAAAGAAAGAAAGGAAGGAAGGAAGGAAGGAAGGAAGGAAGGAAGGAAGGAAGGAAGAAAAAAGACATTGACAGGATCCACAAAGCAAAATTCTTTTGGAGATAAATTCTTAACAAAAGCGCCTGAAATTTTCACGGAAGCTACTGGCCTAAGTTTGGTTTCCAAAGCCCAATTCACCCTATAAACATTAAATTGTCTGAACCATAGTATCTCCCTTTAGCCCTAGTTTGAGATTCCTGTCTAGGTAGGCTTTCCACACATACCCAGACATAGCAAATAAACACAGAATTTTTTGTCCCTCTTGTGTTTTTTTTAATAAAAACAATTATCCAAAACATAAATTAAATTGTCTGTCAATTGGAGTTTGAAAACTATTTGAAAAAGCAAAGCCATCTGTATGCTAGACTGTTCTGAAGTATCCTGGTTATATTGATAAAACTGCCTAATAACTAATAAAGGTCATCACCATCAATAATGTGAGGTCTTATATGAAAACTATTTCCTGTGAATAGCAGTGTCCTACAGCAGATGTTAATTTTTGGTAAGAATAAGAAAGAATAATCAGACATTGTGAATACAACTATTCTTAAATATCCTATTACTGACTCTGTTCTCCTACTAAGTGTTACAGAAGATGTAGTTTTGAACAAGTCAGCAATGCACAGTCAGACCTATGAATTTTTTAGTAAAGAATCTTAATGCCCAACACCAAGTTAGTACAGAAATAGTAAGCCAACAGCGCTTGCTGTTTGTTAGTTTGTAAGCACACTTATTTTCCTGATCTATGATTAATTATGTATGTGTCTCAGAAACTTAGATCATTTCTCTCTCCAACAGTACTTTTCCAGACAATTCATTGTAAACCCATGCCAAGCAGACTTGGATGTGAATCAGAACTCTGCCATTTACTAGCCTTTAAAATGGTTTTCTTAATTTACTCTTAATTATTTTTATTTTAATAATACACACCCTCCATGGTAATTTATAAAGAACTAGATGTTCTTACGCTAAAGGACCTACTATGGTCCTGTGGTGGTGGTGCACACCTTTAATCCCAGAACTCAGGAGGCCAAGGCAGGTGGACCTCTATGAGTTTGAGGCCAACCTGATCTACAAGAGCTAGTTTCAGGACAGGCTCGAAAGCTACAGAGAAGCCCTGTCTTGAAAAGCCATAAAAAAAAAAGACCTAGTATGGAGCTGTGTGCACGTGCTACTACATGGTTATTAGACACTTCTCTTCATATTTGCCCCTAGTTTACAAGAAATTTTTTTTAGAAGTGTAAAGAATTTAAGGGAAATTGCATTTATCACTCCAGGCATTTGCAGGAAAGGAAAGGGTGAAGCACATAAAATACTTCAATGGCCCATGTCATCAGGAACATGGAAGTTACAACAAAGAAGCACATGTCTGCAGAAGACATCCCTCCTTGGTAACTGCTCCCACCAACAACATGATGCTTAAGCACATGTGCCCTTCAATGTGTACAGTATCTAAGTCACCTTGGCTAAACTGAACACTGTATTAGTGTTCGTTGAATATTTTCCATCAGGATATTCCCATATAAGAACACAGTGGACAAGGCTTAGAAAGTTTTCTGAGATAATTACTTCTGAAATGGAAGTGCAAAGAAAATATATACAAATTAACTGGGAGGGGGATGATATTAGGGACTTTACTGAGTAGCAGGTCATTTCCCACAGAACAATCACTTTTATTGTCACATCCTAGTGCTCTGGCTGATCTTTGACGTGGGACTGGTTTTTTTTTTTTTTTTTTTTTTTTTTTTTTTTTTTTTTTTTTTTTTTATATCATTCCATTAGTGGAAAGGGGGGAAATGAAAGGAAGTATCAGGCATCTCTTGTCTTCTCTCCTGGAGCATGACACAGGATGGGTGGGGTTCTTTATGCTTCTTCCAAAGTTCAAAATCCACTCAACTGTACCAAAACAAGTCACACTGAAAAATTCTTTCTGCCTCCACCTTGCCCAACAAAACAGGAAGAAAAATATAGTCCAAGAAAATACATGAATGTTGAAGAAATCTCAGATGCAGAGGACAAATTCTGAGCTTTGTGACAGGAAATACTATCCATGTAAACATATAGAACCTTTACATTGCCTACTCAGGTTACATTGCCTACTTGTACCCCTTTTCCAGGAAACATGACACCTTCCTGCAGGTGACTGTCATTATAGTTTCTGTCATTATATATTTTCACGGCCATTTATATGTCATCTAAATTTAAATATAGAAATCACCTTTTTGTTTCTTGTTTATATGATTTTTTTCATAAGAAATATTAAAATGCATAATTTAAAGTTGTTTTGATCAAATCATATGGGCTTAAATTCTTGGGAGCTCAGATAATAATGTTTTTAAGCTTTAGCAAAATACCAGAAGCAACCAAAGGGCAGGGTGAGAAGACAAGTTTTTATATATTTTAGTACTTAAAAATCCAAAATGCTTTTGTCTCAAGATGTGATTAGGAAACTAGGAAATAGCCTCCCCTCTGATCTGAAGTGACTCTGAACCCTGGAGTCCCAAAGTGGAGCTGAACTCTGGACAACATGAGTAGGCAGCTCAAGAACTCAGATCCTGATGGTCTGTCCACCAGATACCTCTAGAGAAAAAGTTGCTGTTAGTTCTGAATATGCTTCTTTTCTGGAAAAAGAATGCACATCCCTTACAACCATGGGTCATCAAGCATTCATCATTGTTTTCAGAGTCTGAAGAAACTGAAGTTCCCCGGACACACACACACACACACACACACACACACATTTTTTTTTTTTTGGTCTGTTGAGTCACTTAGGCAAAGTCTGAGTAAAAAGTAATCATAGTTCACTATGTCACTAAGGATAGTGTGGGCTACTGCTCCCAGCAGACTCTTACCCCTTCATGGAGCAGCTCCCTTCTAGCCAGGGAGCGTGATTTACAAATGGGTCCCACACAATGCCATGAGGAAGGCCTGGGCTTCCAGGAATGGCCATGACCTTCAGGGAAAGTATGATATCCTGTAGTGAGCCTAAGCCTTCCAGCTTCGGCTTCCAGTGGCATCTCAACCATATCCATCACCAAAGCCCATATACTGCAGGATGCTTGTTCCCTCCTAAAACAGCCTCTTCAACACATGAAATGGTACTATTATCACGCCTGCCATCTACTGGGCCCGGCTACATCCTCTACTACTCATGAGATGCTATTTATCAGAAATCTCGATGAATTTTGAATTACTGTGGCTGGGTATCAGTAGTCTGTTTACTTTTGAATTTCAGAATGCACCTGCAAACCAGTCAGATTGCCAGGCAGGCCCTCTCTTGTTTGAGTAGCCCACAGGAGCTCCACAGAGTAAAGAGAACGCCAAAAGGCACTCAAGAGGAAACTCTGGGTTTCAAGTCTTTCTTTATGCCAGTATGGCAGCTGTGGAAAGGTATATACTAAATGTTCTCACCTTATCTGTCCTGAAATAAAGATACAGGTGAGAAGCCCTACATGTATAAAACACTGCACATGCCCTCATATGCTTGGATG